CTGCCAATCATGTACTATTGCTAGGTCAATTTAATCATTTTAATGGCCAATCAGCGTCTCAGAATTTTATGGTCTTGGGGCGCTGAAAATACTGCCCTTTAACAGGCTGTTTGAGTTTTTCAGCACAATAATAACCGGTTGCACACCTGTCACCTCACCTCTTCCAGCAGAACTCAGAAAACCCTGCCAGCCAGACTCCTCTCTGTACAGACCTCAACCTCCAATAAAAACTCTTAACTGATCATTGTCTCTCATTCAGAGTCTGTCAATTTAAATCATGACACTAACGCTATACCGCGTCGATAGGAACAAAGAACTAAGTGGTAAGACTTGGGTGGTGGGCTCTGTGTTTACATCAGCAACAGCTGGTGCAAAAATGCTAAATCGGTCACCAGCTTCTGCTCTCCAGACATCAAGTTTCTGACTCCATACATTCACACCCACAATCAAAAAACTTCCTAGCAGACATGATGTTGAATCTGCTGCTACTGCAAACCTTTTTTCTTTGTTTTTTTTTCTTTATATATACTCTTTTTTTTTTTTTTTTTTTTGGCCGGCGGTAAACAGCAGCTAGGTTTATACGGTGATCAAAGAATCTTTTTATGCAGGCTGGGTGCCTCCGGGCACATCGCTGTCCCCGAAGGACACCGGCTTTTGCATCATATCATGGGCATTACGCTGCGGTGGGTTATGCATAAGTAAAGCTGTCGTTGGACATGTTCAGAGTGGCTGTGCTTTGCAACATGCATACATCCTATCAGAATATTCTATTACTCTCAACCCCACTAAAAATATTTAAACACACTGAACCGTTTAGTTTTTGTTTTTTCAGTAAAAAAAAAACTATATAATATAGATATATAATATCAGAATATTCTATTACTCTCAACCCCACTAATAATATTTAAATACACTGAACCATTTCTTTTTTGTTTTTTTCAGTTAAAAAAACAAAACAAAAAACATGAATATTAGAAGATTAGTTCAACATTCAGCAAGTTCAGTGTAATTAAAATTGATTCTTTGCCTGCCTAACCCATTACACTGGACGGAGCTGTCGACCCAAGATGGCGCCAACAAATCACGTCATCGCCCATAGAAGGCCATTAATGCTGGGTCTACTGTTGTATCATGTCTATTATATCAGTCGCCTGTGTGCAGGAAGAAC